GGCAGAGTTGACTACAGAGTTGACTCTCTACAAATCCCTAGAGAGAACATATTAATCGAAACTACAAATAATCAAAGCCACAAATGTGGCGGGCCAGCTGTACCCCAAAATTGTCCACATGGGTGACTGAGATAGTGTCACCTTTGCTTTCTGATGGTTCACTATGCAAACATTTTGTTTCACGTACAAAATTATTTTAAACATTATGTATAACATTACCTTCAGGCTATGCGTATACGGTATGTTGTTGCTGTGTGCCTTCAAGTCATTTCTGATGTATGGCGACCCTAAGGAGACCCTATCATGGGGTTTTTTGGGGCTGAGAGTGTGTGACTTGCCCAGGGTGTCCAAGGCTGAGCAGGGAATCGAATCCTGATAGGTCCCCTTTCCAAGATATCTCATTATGTATATGCAAATATTCCAATATTTGAAAAAAAATCCCTTCTGGTCCCAAGCATTTTGGATAAGGTAGACTCAGTGTGTATATTGCATCTAAAAAAGTGGTTTGATATCCACAAAAGCTCATGCTAAAATAAAAATCAATCTTAAAGCTGCTGCCAGATCCCCATTTTTCTTTTTTGGTAAGCATAAGTTTGCTGGTTTTTGTTCCCTGCTCACTACACTAGGAGGAGATTTTGAGCAAAGCACAAGGGACTGCAAACACTATGCTGCCATGCTCTGGATCTGATTGTCTGCCAAGTGTGGCTGCCCTTTGGCTATTGTGATGCATGGAGGGCTTCTCTGGGAGAAATTGCTGTGAACCTTAAGGAATAGCAGTGAGCAAGTTGCTAGTCCTCAACGAGCGAGTTGTTTCTGATTGATGGTTGACCTCTAAGGCAAACCTGTCATGGGGTTTTCTTGGCGAGATTTGTCCAGAGGGGTTTTGCTTTTGCCTTCCTCTGAGGCTGAGAGAGTGTGACTTGCCCACTGGGTGTCCAGGATTTGAATCGGAGTCTCCAGAGTCACAGTCCAGCACTCAGACCAGTATGCCACACTGGCCTCAGCATAACCCATTCAAAAGGATACTGTGAAGACAAAATCTCCTGGGGAAAAGACAAGATGAAATATACAAGCCAAGGTATAGTTTGGCACTTTTAAACTTCACAGATATAAAAACGAGGAACTTAAAGCACAATGTGGCTTCCTTTTTAAAAAGACGCATTATTTAATCTCTCATAAGAAGAATTTGCAAAGATGTGCTTTTTGTTATATATTTGAAGAGTGCTGGCTGCATCTGTACTGTAGAAACTATCCAGTTTAACACCACTTTAACGGCTATGGAATTCTGGGAGTTGTAGTTATAGCACCACAGGTCTCTGACAGAGAAGGCTAAATATCTCACAAAACTACAATTCCCAGAAACTGGGATTATTTCTGCAATGCGAAGCAGCCGCTGTTATGAGCAAAGCACATCATTACTTTAGTTTATTCCTACTACGCTTTTTTTAGGCATGCTGTTAACATTTTGCAGATGGGAAGATGAGGCTAGGTGTTACTGGTCTGACCAAAATTCAAGTGAATCTGTGACTGATTAGTTGATGTTCAGTCTCCTGGAAAGAAAAGACACTCTTTCTGACTATTTATGATAAGATTATATCAAAGTATGGCATCGGTTGATTTCAACAAGTTTCTGTTAGATGGAAGCAACTGCTGCATTATTCCCACTGGCTCACTGGAGACACTTATATGCACAAGCCTTTTGCCTAGGCAAACAACTAGTTCTGTCCTCTCTTCTTTTTGCACCGAGTCTAAATGTCTCCAATTAATTGGGTTCCCAGATATAGACTAAGACAACATCTTAAATTCCACTTTGAAAGGGGCATAAGATCCAGCCTTATTGGTTCAGTGCTAAAAGCATAGTTGTGTTAGGCTGTTGTGGCAAAAGCAAGAAGATGTCTGGTAGCACCTAATAAATTTATTGTAGCATAGACTTTAAGGAAGATGAAGTGTCATCCAGAATTTTAGGGATAGGGTCCAGAACACTTGGTTGGGGCTGTGATACTCTCACTTGAATTCCTGTTCACCACAATGTGTGGGAAGGGGGAAACAGGCTTTCTGGTGTATATCTCAGTTTATTAAGCTGAAATCTGGTTATCCCAGTTGGACCATGCTGCTTAAATGAAATGGCTAAACCTATTCTTAGGCACTCAGAAACATGAGCAACAGAGAAGCAAAGTACTAATACCACATCACACTTTGGATCCACACCTTCTATCACCTTTTTATCTGTGGTGTCAAAGAGTTTGTTTTCTTTTTCCTTGTCATCCTCTTTTAGCCAGATGACTAATCCAGGGGTGTATGGGCAGGAGGACAAGCAAATTGTGATCATTTGCTAGCAGACTACTTGTGTTTTTTGAGTCAATTCCAGGAGTTGACACCTAACCTTACATCAACTCCATCACTGTCAGGTTGTTCGAAAGAACCTACACCCTGGATCACCATGTCAGGTTGGTTGGCTGATTTATTTAATACCATGCCTTCCTCCTAAAATGGGACCCAACCTGGCTTACAGTACAAGTTAAAACAAATAAATTTACTTCTGTTGTTTTAAGAACAAAGCACATGTTGTTACCAATTTGTTTTGCCTTGTAAGACAATTGCTTGGATCTTATATCATTCAAAGTCATTTTAAAAAACTGAAGATGAGTCAATGTATGCATACTCAGAAAGGATGTCAGCATAACAAAATAGCATAAGACAACACTGTTAAAATCTCTTCTTTAAGACAACCAGATTAAAAAGCTGCCCAAGAACTTGGACAGAGTTGGGAAGG